CCATTGTGTGCCAAATGCCTGAAACATTTTCTTTGAAACAGAGTTTATTACAGATGTAGGCCAGCAGTGTGTTTACACATGGGCATTAATGAGGCCCCAAGCTGAAACAATGACCAGCAGGGGGAGATGGGGGTGATCCCACAGAGAGACAAAGCACTTCATCACTCCCAGGTCACATGATGGGGTGTCCCACAATCCAGCCGTCATAAGCCTGGAAAACAAAGATCTGTCAGGGCCAGGATTTCATTAATCTGAAGCTAATCTAGACCTGGACAATGATGCTACATGGTTATACTGCACCATCAGATGCATCTACATAGTATTGCAGTTTATAGAAAAAAAAAACAGAAAGGCAAGTCAAAGGTAAATAATAAATAATACAAATAATAATAATTGAAACAGGAAGTGTGGAGTGGCACATCAGCATGGAGAAGCAGGAGTGTGACGAGTGCACCCTGTAGGATGGGAGGGTCATCACAGCCACAGACAGTAAGGGGAAGTAGTGGTGTGAGGAGCGCCCCTGCAGGGCCGGAGGGTCATCACATGCGCAGATGGTAAGGCTCAGGCACAGCCTGAGGAGCAGGGCACCGACAGCGGCTCACTCACTGTGCTACAGACTCTTCTCAGCGACCTCGCAGAAACCTGGCCAGGAAGATAATAGTGAGACAACACTGCAGCCATATTTATACCCCCACACTGCTCCCTGCTGCTCTTTATCCACCGGATGCAGGCCTACACTAAGGTCAAAAGTCACAGTTCTGGGCAGTGATGTGACGCATCACATACGGATATGCAGCGTATTCATACAGGCATGCGACAGATGAGCGTGACCCACCATACTTTGGGAAGGGGTAAACGTGGTCGATGGAAATGCCCTGCTTCTCCGCCAGGTCTTCAAACCTGTCCAGCATGCTGTCAGGCAGCTGGGTGGACCTCCCTATGGGAAATAGAGAAGAAGGATTCATGGTGTGAAGATGGACAAACTTGTTGGCAGAGAAGGCGTCACCCTGACAGAGTGACACTCAAACCCGCAAGAGAGAAAGCAAATGGTGTAAGACAGAGTGCACACTGTGCTGTGTGATTTTGGCTACAGTGCTTTGGGTTTATGGGATGCAGTGGGCACCTCCCTGACAACGCGCACTCACCGTATAACTTCATGGTGACCTGGTCACGCTTCTGGTAGTACAGGAGGGCATAGGAGATGTAGTCTGTCTCCGAGACCACAACTTCGATGCTGTCATAGCGATCTGAGGAGGGGGGGCATGACAATGCAGTTTAGGAGTCGGAGGGCATAGCAGCTGGGGGTCTATAGCGAGTTGTGGGGCGGGGTTGTACACCTGAGGAAGTGCTCTGCGCGGATTCTGAGAGGCCTCTGCCCACAACACGACAATGCCCGTCATCACCCAGACACGGCCTCACAGTTTAGCTTCACCACGCTATGTGCTAATGAGCAGGACACAGAGGAAGGGGCTGTCTCTGATGTGATGTCTTCAGGGCGGGGTTCACCAGACCTGCTATCAGGAAACGGCTGCTGCTCTGGGTGGGGATGTACTCCTGCGTGATGTTCCAGCACTGCTGGTTCCTAGGGGACAGAGATGCAGTCAGCTGGTTAAAGGCTAAGCATGCTAAGGGTCACATGACTATCTATCCATCCATCCATCTTTGGCTCCATATGGCTTTGAAGTTGCTAGAGGGTTTTTATTCTCAAGGCTCTCCCTAGTGGCACAAGCAGGGTTGCACTCACAGCTTCCTTAGGGTGGATGCAATAAGCGGGGAAGTGGGGGAGGTGGAGGCCGTCAGGGTCATGGATGTGCTCTCCAGCCGGAAGTTATTCTCCTGAAGGTAGCGACACTTTGATGCAACACTGTTCAGGAGCCACCTTCCACTAAACTGCAGATAATGAGGGATCAAATAAAGAGAAGATAAAATAAATACATTAGAAAATGTCTATGCCAGGGGTGGCAAACCTGATCTATGGAGAGCTGGTGTAGGTGTGGGTTTTTGGGATGATCTCTCAATCAGCCAGCCAGTGGTTCTCAACTCCAGTCCTGGGGACCCACTGTTGCTGGCTGACTGAGAGGTCATCCCAAAAATCCGCACCCACACCAGCTATCCATGGATCAGATTCTACACCTCTGGTCTAGTCAGGAATGGCTTTAAGCATATGCATCATCAACTAAGAAAATAACCCATGCCCATTTAATGGCTAGGTATGTCACAGTCTCAAATCAAGATCAGCACCTTCTCAGCAATAAAACAGTTTTCTGTTACAAATTCAAGCATTTAAGCACTACGCCTCCTGCTGGCCAGTGATAATGTTGTCAGCAGTCAGCGATGCTAAACCTACCCGCTGCAGATCCAGGCTGTGCACAGCAGGGATGTTGCTGAGGGGCTGCTGTGCCGGTGACCTCTGGCGGCCCCTGGCTCGTGTGCCTCCCACTGGTCCCAGTAGGAAGGCCGTCACTACTGACACATAGAACCATGTGGCCTGCATCTCACCCAGGTCTTCTCTGCGGTCCCACACTTGTCTTGTTTCCCTTTTTCCTGTGCCTTCAGCCTTCTGCTCAGCCTCTAGCGTCCTCCTTTCTTACACCTTTTTCTCTCTGTCTCTCTCTGCCCCTCACTTTCAACCCACAGGGCAAATAAAGTGTTGACACACCAGTGCAGACCCCTGACTTGTGATCCCTAGACCGGTTTATCATTAACTCTCAAAGATTACGGGAATTTGCTGGAAACTTGCTGCTGCATTGCTCCAATCACTTCAATTTTATCATTGTGTCATTGGCATGAATGTTGTTATTAATCATTTTAAAAACTAGATCAATATTTGCGCATTTCGGACATAGCGGACATGTCCGAAACAGACAGGTATACTGTCTTTGGACATACACATAGCGGATCAGAAATCATAGTGTGAGTGGGCCGGCGAAAAATCAGGCGGGCCAGTGGTTTAACAATCCACTTGGCTGTCTACACTACAGACTCGATTCTGTTGCGAAGATCGTTCTGATGCACGCACATGGCGCCATCTGCTGGCATTCTTGTGTAAGGCCATAGATGGCGCTACAGCTGTACACGGTTTACCGCTATGTGCTCCAGCACTGCGGGCTGCCCGCTGCGGACCTGGAAGCACGATGCGCATGCGCTTCATCACCGGCCGGCTGGGAGTGGCGAGGACGCGCTAGTTGCGCATGCGCATTGTAATACCGGCTGTTCGGAGCTTGAGGCGGCCTACATCGGAGCAGAACCGGGACGTCAAAACGGAGGACGGCTGGACAGGTCAGTCGGGCAGGTCGGTGTCAGGAAGGAGCACCACTTTGGTGAACCATGCGAGACCGGTCGGCGCTCGATAAACATATGAGTCAGTCTGTTAGCTGCCCCCGTAAGCGCTGACTGGCGCTAGCACCGTTAGCTTGCTAGCACAGGACGGGCGGCCGCTAAATAACGTCCCCACTGCAGCCCCTTACCCGGCAGCTACCGGACTATTTCGGGCGCTCGGTACGGTATAAGGCTTCTGCTGCGGCGTGTTTATGTGTTGCAAAGTTTCACATTTCTATGTACTAGCAAGATATGCCGGTACCGCTGGGCTAGATTCATCTCGGTGGCTTGTGGATGGCCAGCAGGTGGCGTGCCGGTTAAGGACGCGGAGGCGCTCTGAAAGCTACAGGGCTGAGTCCCCAAGACGGGCTCAAAAGAAGCCGGCCGAACCCGGGACACTCAAACGGGTAAAGGGGGGCCTCGCCTATTTGCATGCTTTACGAGCCCGGGTCCTTTGCTTCGTTAAAAATCTGTTAGCGGTGCTAGCGGTCCGTTAGACACACGGGACCCTGCTGACGTTAGACAGTCCTGCTAGGCTTTGGAGGGTCGAGGATGGGCCGTTAAACCCTACGTCGGAGGAACACAGCTTGTGACGGCTTGACGCTGTGCGAGTGTAAGGGAGCATGTGGCTATGGGCCCCTGAGACATACTTCAGGCCCCTGAGCGTCTTGGTCTCTGCAGTCAGCAGGATGAGCCTGGCAAAGGAGAACGCACGGCTGAAGAGCTACAAGAACAAGTCACTGAATGCCGATGAGATGAGGAGGAGGAGGGAGGAGGAAGGCCTGCAGCTGCGCAAGCAGAAGAAGGATGAGCAGGTGAGGGCCCGATTCTGCCTGCTCGCCTGTGATTGGATGTGCCGATCATGTGATTACAGGGCCCTGACCTTGCTCTCAGGCAAGAGTTATTTCTTTACATTAGTTATTTGTGTTTCTGTTGTGGTGAAAAGGGAGCTGAGCCGGAAGGTCGATCTACTTTCGTACCCTTACCTGGGGTCACAAGCTTTGGGTAGTGACCGAAAAAATTAGATTGTGGATACAAGCGGGAGAAATGAGTTTCCTCCCGCAGGGTCTCTGGAGTCAGCCTTTGAGATAGGATGAGGAAGTAGAGCTACCTCTCCTCTGCATTGAAAGCAGCCAGTTGAGGTAGTTTGAGCATCCATCTAGAATGCCTCTTGTGACGCTCTGCATCCTTCAGACCCATATCCATGACCTCCCTGTGGACCCTGTGACTCTCTGCATTCCTCATAGCCCTGTGATTCTCTGCGTCCCTGATGCCCATGTCTGTGATCTCCCTGGGGACACTGTGACTATCTACGTCCCTCACAGCCCTGTCTGACTTCCCTGTGCACACTGTGACTCTCCATGTCCCTCATACCCTTGTTTGTGACCTCCCTGTGGACACTGTGACTGTCTGCGTCCCTCATGCCCATGTCTGTGATTTCCCTGTGGACACTGTGACTCTTTTTGTCCCTCATAGCCATGTCTGTGATCTCCCTGTGGACCCTGTGACTCTCTACATCCCTCTTAGCCCTGTCTGACTTCCCTGTGCACACTGTGACTCTCCATGTCCCTCATACCCTTGATTGTGACCTCTCTGAACAATGTGACTCTCCTCGTCCTTTATACCCATGTCTGTGACCATCCTTTGGACACTGTATGTGACTCTATGTCCCACATGTCCATGTGTGTGATCTCACTGTGGACACTGTGACACTCTACGTACTATATACCTAATTTCTGTGACCTCCCTGTGGACACTGAGAGACTCTGTGTCCTTTGTGTCCATGCATGTGGTCTGCCTATAGACACTATGACCCGCCGCGTCCTTCAAACCCATGTCTATCTTCCCTGTGAACACTGTGACTGTCTGGAGTCTTTCAATCCTGTGTCTGTTGTGTAGCTATTCAAAAGGAGGAACGTGGAGGTGGCAGAGGATGGGCCTGCAGATGAGGAGGACATGTCAGACAGCGGATATCTGGAGTCGCAGGCCAACAATGTCGACCTGATAGGGGTGAGGGGTGACAAAACATGTCACACATGTGTCAGCCATAAATGACACAGAATCTGCCTGGCTCACGACGTATCCTCCCTCCACAGACCGCTGTTATCTCAGAAGACATGATCCACATGATTTTCTCAAGTGCTCCAGAGCAGCAGTTGATGGGGACCCAGCGTTTCCGGAAGCTTCTGTCTAAAGGTTGAAGATTGGTCACAAATGCTTGGTGTTACTGTACATTCTTGTGTCAACTCTGGCTGTGTGTGACCCCAAGGCCTCCTCCCTGACAGAGCCCAACCCCCCCATCGACGAGGTCATCGCCACCCCAGGTGTGGTCGAACGCTTTGTCGAGTTCCTCAAGAGGAAAGAGAACTGCACATTGCAGGTACTGGCACATCCAGCTGCCTCACTGCCTACTGCAGGTGTATTAGAGCTATTTTGTAAGGCTTAGTGGCAGAGAGACAGGCTGTTGGTACAGACACTCCATGTAGAGCCAGGATCCATGACCTCTGCTTGGATCCACAGTTTGAGGCGGCATGGGTCCTGACCAACATCGCTTCTGGAACGTCCCACCAGACGCGCATGGTGATCCAGGCTGGGGCTGTACCCGTCTTCATCGAGATGCTCAACTCCGACTTCGAGGACGTGCAGGAGCAGGTGTGGTGGGAGGGTCCTCTCTGTAGAGCCGAATTTTCTCGTGCCCCGTGCTCCCACTCTAACACGTGTATGCTTGTCTCACAGGCGGTCTGGGCCTTGGGGAATATCGCGGGTGACAGCACCGAGTGCAGGGACTACGTGCTGGACTGCAGCATCCTGCCCTCCCTCTTACAGTGAGTCACCACACCCTCCCACCACTGTACTGCATTCCCACCCAGCGCACACATGTGTAACACATATATTACGTGTAATTGCCCCCCCCAGGCTGCTTTCCAAACAGAATCGGCTGACCATGATGCGGAATGCCGTGTGGGCCTTGTCAAACCTGTGCAGGGGGAAGAACCCACCACCAGACTTCTCCAAGGTGACTGTGGCTGGCCTTACCGGCGCCCCCTATGAGCGGAGTGGGTGCAGCACAGCTTTGTGACTCCGTGCTCTTTTCCATCCCATCCTCAGGTGTCCCCCTGCCTTGGAGTGCTGTCCTGGCTGCTCTTTGTCAACGACACGGACATCCTGGCTGATGCCTGCTGGGCGCTGTCCTACCTCTCTGATGGGCCCAATGACAAGATCCAGGCAGTTATCGACTCAGGGGTGTGCCGGCGGCTGGTGGAGCTGCTCATGTGAGTGCATCGTGGCCTAGTTTGCTCATCCGGGGCCTCTGCGTGTTGTGTCAGGCCCCTCAATACCTCTTCCCTGGGTTACAGGCACTTGGACTACAAAGTGGTGTCACCGGCACTGAGAGCTGTTGGGAACATTGTTACCGGAGATGACCTGCAGACTCAGGTACATGGATAGCCTCACTTTCCTGTCTGCTGTGACTCTGCCCCTCTCATTGCCTCTCTTGTTTGACCCCCACCCACTCTCAAACTGCCTCCCTTGTTCACCTCCGCCTCTCTCTCCACCCTCCTCTCATTCGACTCCACTTTTCTCTCTCTGTCCTCCTCCCCTTATTTGAGTCTGCGCCTCTACCTCCCCTAATTCAACTCTGCCTGCCCTTCTCCCCTGGTTCGACTCTGCCTCTCTCTGCCCTCCTCCCTTCGTTCAACTTCACGTCTTCTCTCTCCACCTGCCTCTTTTGTGGGCCCACCCCACTCCCTGCTGTAACCCTGCCCCCTTTTCCTCTCCTACCGGCAGGTGATCCTGAACTGCTCCGCCCTTCAGAGCCTGCATCACCTGCTGAGCTGCCCCAAGGAGTCCATCAAGAAGGAGGCATGCTGGACCATCTCCAATATCACGGCTGGCAACCGAGCTCAGATACAGGTGTCACTCTGTCTGTGTTTGTACTGCTCTGCACTTGTCCACAGTTCAGCATGTCAGATTCTCTATAACGTGAATGAATTCCTCCTCTTGCCAGATGGTGATTGATGCCAATTTACTGCCAGGCCTGATCAGCATCCTGCAAGGGGCGGAGTTTCGCACCAGGAAGGAGGCGGCCTGGGCCATTACCAATGCCACCTCCGGGGGCTCTGCTGAGCAGATCAGGTGTGGCCCAACTGGTGTCTGACTGGGATGTAAAGTGGGGTCTGTGATGAGATAGATAAAGGTATGATGTCTCATGATCAATGACCATCTGGTTTTATGACCTGTGTTGCCCTCTGCAGGTACCTGGTGGAACTGGGCTGCATTAAGCCACTGTGTGACCTGCTGACTCTCATGGACGCCAAGATCGTGCAGGTGGCACTGAACGGCCTGGAGAACATCCTGCGGCTGGGTGAGCAGGAGGCCAAGCGGAACGGCGGAGTCAACCCCTACTGTAGCCTCATTGAGGAGGCCTACGGTACGACATTCCTTCCGAAGCACACCTCCTGGGCCCCTAGCGTGTCCCTGGGCCCTTCATGATGGTGCATAACTTTCATCCCTTCCAGGTCTGGACAAGATGGAGTTCTTGCAGGGCCATGAGAATCAGGAGATCTACCAGAAGGCCTTCGACCTGATCGAGCGCTACTTCAGTACCGAAGACGAGGACCCTGCGCTGGCCCCGTCCGTCGACCGGCAACAGGAGCAGTTCCTCTTCTCATCATGCGAGGCCCCCATGGAGGGCTTCCAGCTATGATGTGGGCCCTTCCCACTGTCGCTCTGGCCCCACCCCCAGGGAGGACCGCAGACACTCCTAGATGGGGGAGACGTCGAATGACGATCATGATTATCAACAAAGCCGTACAGTTGACTCATTGCACGCAGTTTCTGAATGAGAGCCCGTTTCCCATCATCTTCTGCAGCACTCTGAGGACGCCCCCCCACCCCACAGGGCAGCCAGACGCACACACTGGACTGACTGTGACCCCCACCCCCTGACTACTGGTCTGGCTGCCAGATGCTTGGACTAACAAAGGAAAGCACTTATGCCCTGACGTGGCCAAAGCGCCTCTTTTTTTTCGCGACTGCCTTGGTTGGTGCCCTGTGCTCACCGTGCTGCTCATGCAATAAAGTCGCGGTGTGATTGAACCAGGGGGGCAGAGCCTGTGGGACTGACCAAATGCCATTGGCTCTTTCCTTCGACGAGACCACACATTCCTTGTGCAGGAGTGTTGCCTATTGCCAGGCCCCGCCCCCCTCGGAGGTCTGCCCCCCACAAGACACTCAGGAGCCGCTGGGAATTTACCCCCCTCCAGCACAGACAGGTGAGCCGGCAGCTTGCTCCTGCCCGTCCGGCGATGGGATGCTCATGGCGAATCCCGACTCCCATCCATTCCATGACATTAGCACTTTCTCTGGAGGTTTGAGACTGAAGCAAACACAGAGCCGAGTTCTAGGCCTCTGCTGGACTGAAAGCAGCCCACCCCTGCTGCCGCCCTGCTCTTGATGCCGGGGTTGGCAGCAGGCACTGTGGGGAGAGCCGGCGAGCCTGCCCTCCCATGTCCACAGCGGCTCTCCCACTCTCTCCAAACCCCTTTCCGGATCTGTGAACACCGCAGGTGCCATATTTTCATTTAGTAAAGAACCAACATCCAAATTAAACTTGAAAATACCTAGTTGTTTTGTTAACGTACAGAGTAGTTTACCAGCTTAATTTTTTACTTCTAGAACGAATGACTGATCGATTTGCCGTGTTCAATGCCGATGTCGTGCTAAGACTCTGTTTTTGTCTTATGCCATTTGCATAAACGCTGTTTCATGGATCCAGACTTGCTCTTTGACACATGCATGCCTCCCTCCCCCTACCCACAAGCAGGAAACACTGTGCTGCACCCGGTTCTGAAGGCTGTGGGATCTCAGTCCGATTTAGGCAGACTCAGGTTCACGGTCATGGTCACATGTGTACATCCAGAGCTGTAAATTATATATATGGAGCTTGAATGTTCATTACTGTCCCACTGTCCTTCATCAGTAGGGCTCACACACATACACACACGGAGGTCTGAGTCCTTTAATATTTCCCAAAACAACAATTACAGTATTGAGGAAAAATAGAAGCATTTCACTAGGAATCACAACTCTACTGCAGGGCTTCCTCTTCTTCTACCGCAGTTCCCACTTTGGCACAAAGAGGGCACACTCTCACTCTTCACTGTAGCTTCCGGTCGACCACGGTGGCTGCCACTTGCTCTTGCTGGGCCTCCTGTCTCCATCGAGCCTTCCTCTCCATGTTCCAGGAAGTCAGGGACTCGTGTCTCGCTGCAGCCTGTGACACAGGACACACGTGTACACCTGCACATACACGTGTACAGTCATGCCATCATGTCCGGACCTGCGCTGACCTACCTGTTTCCCCAAGACAGCCATTACTAGGCAGCCCATAATGGTTGCCAGTATCATCAGATAGCAGACCTTCACCCTGACTTTGTTCCTGGCAGCCTCAATCATCTCCATCCTGTAATGCAGACCAGACCACCCGAGATTTGCTTGGTAATGTGTCCGGGTTCCTGGAACATCCTGTTACCAGATGAGTCTGATAACTTAATTTTTGCACCAATTAGCCCCCATTATAGCAGGGCACACTGGTTCAGAATCGTTAACAGGACACTTACGACACCATGTTGGGAACCTGCTCCTTGGTCTTGAATCGGCCTGCCCAGATCAGGATCTTCTTATCAAAATCTGTGGGCTTGTGGCCTGGGATTCGGAACACAGGCTGGGCTGTGGGACAGAGGAAGAGACAGGAAATGCAGAGCAGGTTGTCAGCAACACTGAGGCAGATCAGGTGTCACTTTCCATCTGCATTGCATGACACCACAGTCACCTGGACAATCAACAGCTGGGGGATTAGGGGCTGGAGATGTCAGTAATATTACAAGCTTCCTAAAGAGCTGGAGAGTAAGGAAAAGTAGGTAGATCGAGGCCAGTGTTCGGTTCCTACCAGCAGCAGGTGTGCCAGGCTGAGCTTCGCTGGCTGGTGGTTTGGCCGTCTCCTGCGGTCGGCTGCACAGTTTCCTCTGGCCCGTAAAACGTGGTGCCGGCATGTGCCCCCTAACTGTGCGAGAATAGGATTTTAGGATCCCGCGTGGTGGCGGCTTGCTAACAAACGGCCCTGAATACAGCCATCCGCACCCCAACACCCAGCCCGCCTGGTTCGCTCTCCTTCATTTTGTTTTTTATTGTTTTGTGTCCAACTGCGTATTAAAAGCCGCAGTCGCTTAATTGAAATCTCGGCGGTTAATGTCGGATAACACGAACTTAAAAGTGTGATGAGGACCTAGGGATGTGACTGCACAGGCGATCGAGAGAAATTACCAGCTTTCATCTGTCACAAAAATATAACAAGCCGTCACACCTGACACAAACCCGGATCTACTTGCGCATTTTTCACCGTTTCCTGAAATCCGATCACTTGACACTGACAGGAACCACACAACATGCGTCCCGAGGCAAATCGGTAAAATTAACACCGACCAACACGAAACCTTCCGTGATAACAACACAAAACATACACACGTAGGTAAAAGAAGTGTAAACACTGACCGATTAACGTCCGGAAGGCAATACGGGACCTGTGGATTGTACTGAGGATCATGGTGACGTTGAAACAGGGTAACTCAGAGGCTACCCGGAAAACATATATGATGAACGCAGCTCCCCGTCGTTGTTATGAACATCTATGGTTATGAAAGTCATCTAGCTCCTGACTACACTGTATCCCATACTGCATTGCACATCCATACACTCAATTTCCCATGAGACAATCATTTCCTGTGCACGCAGGACCCCTGGAATCATGCGTGGTATGTCTAATTAATCACCTGTTTTGCCAAATTGGTTATCTTTGTACAATGGTAAAGTAATATTCCACGAAAATAACAAGTGCCCGCGTCAGTTTAAATATTTTAGATGATTGTCATGTATCATTTTAAAATCGGTCATGGGAATGGTCTGCTACTTCACGTGTGTCACGTACGGTCCTCGCGTCCAACATGGCGGCGCCCGGTGAAAGTCTGAGCTGTGAAGACTTTTCAATGTTTCAGGTAAAATAACTGTATTCGGCTCTTGCGTGCATGTTAATCAATGGTTTCGTCCAATTTTATAAAAATCCACTCTACCGAGTCGATCAACGATTTAAAGAAGTACGTGGTTTTGTCGTTCTGAACGAGTGACCCTGGGGTAGCGTCAGTCTCAACCTGTTCATGCTGCTGGGGTCTAGCAGTTTAAAAATATAAATGCAGGCATGCATGATGATTGTGGGCAACGTCGGAACAGTGCGTTTTTCAGACGTATATCCAACGTAAAGTATTAGCCGGTCAACCACTCTGATGCTGATGTGATAAATGTTGAAAACAGTCCCACGTTATCCCACATTACAATGAAGCGTCTGGGGGATTAAACACTTGTTTTAAGATACAATTAAGAACTGACTACAGTTTTTCTAAATGTTACATGTAAGATTTGAATATAAACTGCCTGTTGATACTTGTCGCTGCATCCCACTATTAATTTGTACATTTCTCAACTTGGTTCAGTTGAACTTTTTCCGTGGTATTTAAGTGCTTCCTCCACTTGGGAGTTGAATCTACAACCCCTTGCTCAAAGGTGAACTCTGTTACTGCTACTCCACCTACTGGCTGACCTGTGGGTTTGTGTGTCCTTGTTTGGCTGCTAATTGTACAATAGGAGACACTAAAGATTATGCGCACCATCGATGACCGGATAGTGCATCGGCTGAACACCACGGTTCCCACAGCCTCCTTCAGGGGGAAGGTGGATGCCAGACAGACCTGTGAGGAGCTCTATGAATCTGTGAGTGTCTGATTATCTCTGATTCAGCTCAACGGTACAAAAGACAACTGGCCAGGAGATGAGAAGGACTTCCTCACACAAAGGATAGTTTGTCTGGACTTGGCTTTTTGTTAGTGAGGTGGAGGCTCAGTTTGTGAGGCTGAACTATAGATTAAATGGAAACTCTGGTAGGCATTAAGGGCATACCACTTTCCTGGTTCACCTCGTATTTTACTGACAGGGAACAGTTTGTGTCCATTGGTAGCTTCAGGTCGCACAGGGCACCATGAACACGGAGTCCCCCAGGGCTCTGTATTGGGTCCTCTTCTTTTTCTCATCTATATCCTTCCCCTTGGCCACATTATTCATCAGCATGGATAAAATTTTCATTGCTATGCTGATGACACACAAATTTATATTCATTCAAAACCCTCTAACTTACTTCCTCCGTCGGGCTTGGTAGGTTGTCTCACCGCCATTAGCACCTGGATGACACAAAATTTTCTCAAACTCAATCATGACAAAACAGAAGCTATTTTGATTGCCACACCAACCATGCTAAGCAAGATCAAGCACCTAAACCTGTCTATCCCTGGGTACTTCACCACTACTACCTCTGAAGTAAAAAATGTTGGAGTCATGATGGACTCAACACTTTCTTTTGATTCTCATATCAAATACATCACCAAAACAGCTTTTTTTCCATCTCAAAAACATATCTAGAATATGTGCTTCTCTTACCTATAACTCTGCAGAGACTCTTATCCACGCCTTTATAACCTCTCGGTTAGACTACTGTAATGCCCTGCTATTTGGCATTTCAGCTAAGAACCTAAACAGGCTGCAATATGTTCAAAACTCTGCAGCACATGTTCTTACGTCTACCAAATCCAGGCAACAAATCACCCCTGTTTTACATCATCTTCACTGGTTACCCATTCAGTACCGCATTCACTACAAAATCATTCTGTTAGTTTTCAAAGCACAGCATAATCTTTCACCTACATATCTTTCTGAGCTCTTAACTTCATACCAACCTATACGTACTCTGCGGTCCACCGATGCCCACCTCCTTACTGTTCCTTCCACCAGTCTGCACTCTATGGGAGGCAGGGCTTTCAGTGTGGCTGGTCCTAAATTATGGAACTCTCTCCCTCTTGCACTTCGNGTTTTCAAAGCACAGCATAATCTTTCACCTACATATCTTTCTGAGCTCTTAACTTCATACCAACCTATACGTACTCTGCGGTCCACCTATGCCCACCTCCTTACTGTTCCTTCCACCCATCTGCGCTCTATGGAAGACAGGGCTTTCAGTGTGACTGGTCCTAAATTATGGAACTCTCTCCTTCTTGCACTTCGTCAATGCACTGAATTTTCTACTTTCAAAAGACTATTGAAAACGCATCTCTTTTTACTGGCTTTCCATACATCACCCTGAAAATCTCATCATTGAAAGATTAGTTTTCTCTTTTACGCTGTGATTTGTTCTTATTTTATTTTTAACTGTATTTCGGTATGAACCTACTTCACTGTTTCTTTGTGGGGTATGTTCTTCATTATTATTATATTTATTGTTTAATTAGTGATTTTATTTTATTTCATGTACGGTGTCCTTGGGTGACCTGAAAGGCGCCTTAAAAATAAAATGTATTATTATTATTATTTATTATTATTATTATTAAATCCTCTATTATTCACATATGAGCAGGAGGAGCTCAATGGATTCCTTTGTAATGCTTTAATTAGGGGTGTGTCTTCCTGAGTTTTTCTGTCAGTGTTTTCTTTGATTAGTTTGATTTAATTCTGATGGTTCCATTCCTGATCGTTTGCTTCCTTCTGAGATCAGTGTCACAAAAAAACATGGTTATGCTCAGAAGCAGAAAGCAGCTGCCTGTTGTTGCTGTAAAAGGCACTGAGGGGGCAGCTCTGAGTTCCCCATCTCTCCTGCAGCTAAAGAAAGCCCACGAGAGCCGGGATGGGGCCATTAAGACCTGCATAGCACAGGCTTTGACCACAGTGAACCATCTGCGAGAGGAGAGGGCCAAAGATACTGACAACCTCACACTGATCAAGCAACTCAGGAAAGAACAAACCAAGGTAATGCACTGCAGTACCACCAGAGGGCTCCAAAGGCCCAGAGAAGAGAGGAGAACAGAGAATGGGGGGACTTAGAGTTAATTTTCATGGGGTGCATGCGTTAGGGGTGTAACCATGTTTTCCCAAAGCTTGGTATGTGTCACGGTTTTTGGACCACGGTAACTATAAGATTTCAGTATTTTTATATTTAAAAAGAAAATAAAAACACATCACCCTTTAATTAAGCAATGAACTTGTGAATGTTTCCATATAACAACTCTCACATTCAGAAAAATGGCAGCATGACTGCCTAGGCTACTTAGACTACTTTATGTCACTGCTGGATGAAATCAAGCAGAGAAAAACATTAAAAATAAAAATGTTTCTTAACTTTGATAACCTGTAGGTGCTTTGTCTATTTTATTTCAAATGAACAGTGTACATTGTATATACAGTACCTGTACAGGCAATATTAAATAAAAAAATAATGAAGTGTAACATCAAGTGAGCTACCTATCTTTGCAATGTGTTAGTATTCTCTCTAAGCTTTGACAATGTTGAAGTGATTTGCCTTCTCAATTCTATATAAATAGGACGCATACTTGTGTTTGCAATATTAAATGTAAAAATAACACGTCGCTGTGAAAACATAAGTGCAAAATCAAGTTGGTACCCTAATGAGAGACCTATTTCTGTATGTTGAGGTTTTTCTGTAAAAAGATAAACATCTGATGCACAACGACTACTACCAAAGATAATTTGTCAAGAACATATACGAAGTGAAACAGATCACAGTTGAAAAGTAACTGCAGGCAATTGGAGCTCTGTAAGTGTAGACAGATAAGCAATATTAGAAACTGCACAACCCAGTAGAGCGCAGAAAGTTGTTGATACAGCAGACCCACATAAATCGGGCAGAAAAAAAAAACATTGTATTGTCATTTTAATGAAGATGACCACTGGTTTACAGTTAAATACTGTCTTTATGAAATGCCAGAACTGGTTTAATACTAGCAGTGGCACAGACAAGGAAACCATCAATTTACATGACACTGATGGCTACACGCTAATTCATCCCACAGGTTCCACGGCAAACATTACAGTCCACCAGAAGGAGGATAATTTACAGCATCTGCTGATGTATAATGACATTTAAATTCTAGCCCTCAAAAATAACACAACGTCAGTTTTTTAAATGTATTTCTCTGGTGAAAAAACACTGTTTTATATCCACAGCATTACATATGGAAAAAATGGCGTATCGTAATACCGTGGTTCACGTGTGTATATTGAGCCATCGGGGCGTACCAAATGGTTCGGTGACGTACTGTTACAACTCATGCATCCTGCTGAATCTCAGCAGTTCAGTCATTTTCCTGTTATTTTTTTAATGTGATTTTTTTGTTCCAGTTAAAGCTCATGCAGTCAGAGCTCAGTGTTGAAGAAGTGGTCAATGATCGCAGTCTAAAGGTAAGGGGGAGGGGGCGATTCCTCTTCCATTCACCCCACTGACCTGTGGACTCTGATCCTTTTTTGGGGGTGGGGGCTCTTCCTTTAGGTTTTTCAGGAAAGGTGTCGAGCCCACTACAGCCCTCCTAAGGCCCAGTGAGCCTCTGCTACAGTTCTGTGTGGCGCAGTGCTGGTCTACACAACTGATCTTGGACCAGAACTAGATCTGAGCCGTGGTGCTGGCCCCCCCACCCCGCCCCCGGATGCATGTGCCAGGACCCCCAGGAAGGCCGTCCACCATCTGCCTTTCTGTATTTTCTTACAAACGTTGTACAAAAAACAGGATTTTATACCAATGAAGTGTTTCCAAGTGGTCCTGGCTGTGTGTACTTTGCTCATGGATCTCTTGAGCTGTTTGTGATCCTAACCGGCATCTTGGCTGCTTGTTTCACATTTACCGAGTCCGACTGGTGGCCGTACGTCAAATCTGAACTGTCCATGAATGTCTGTATCCTCAAGCTCTAGTTACTGGAATTCATGGTGTCCTTCTGATTAAAGCAGAACATTAAGAATGAAATTCTAAATGTGGATCCCAGCTTGGGGCTTGTGTTCGGGTTTCTGCTGCATTTCGTCTTATAGATCAATGCAGCAAAATATAATGCAAAGTGTAAGTGAGAGCATCATGCACGCTTGACTGGCAGCAGGCGTCTTTCTGTTCAATTTCCGTTGACATTTTAGCTAGAGCCCAAACCCTCAGTGTAGCCACTAAAATGGGTGGTTTGTGGAAAAAAAAGCCAAAGGTACTGACTGCTGAGCTGGGAGCTGCATGCCGCACCGCTGCATGTCTTTCATTTCAGCACAGCGGGAGACTTCAGAAGATGCCAAACCTTTGTTTGTAGAATGACGTGGGAAAATTGTCCAGCAACAAATTAGAGCACAGAACCAGAAATGGGTCCAGGGGCTTCCCTCCATGCAGCATGTTTTAAAGGGGCACTGAGCTACAGAACCAACCGCTTCCTACCGGAAATGCGAAAAAAATATCTCACAATGCATTGACAGTTTATTCCATGCTTCCGCTTCAAAATTTGCTCATGATATTGATTCTTTAAAATGGATAACCTGAAAAAAGTATTTTGTGAAAGTAGGAAACACAGCTGTTGTAATTCTGACAATGATAAGGGGAGGATGGAGAGGGTAGAACTTCATTAAAGAGGCAGGAGTTGACTCTGTATGCAAGACCCACAGAGGGCGCTGTGACATCACTAAACCTTAAATGTCACCCGAGTTGCTGCTGTTATATATTAATCAAAGTGTCAACACACCTTTAGCCTGAGTACCTTGCACTGATTTGATGGATTATATTTGCTCTCTGCTGCAACATCTGAGGTCACAATGTCCTCTGCTATGCTGCTCATTTTTAGCTTATTTCATTGCTGTCACTACTATGCAGCCATATGTATGTTATTTTTTGCTATTTAAGGGAAGAAAAAAACTTTTAATTGACACTTATGAGGATGCAGCATATTACACATTCATTCACACTTATTTGGCAAATTAAGGTACAGACGCGTGACAAAACTTTAAAATGATTACAAATCCATATTATAAGCACACTGCATAGGTAAGCAGAGCCTGGGCATCAGGGGCTGGACGTGTGTCATTCTCTGCAGGTATCCTCCGTAATAGGAAGTACTCTATGGAGTCTCCATCAGTGTTTGCTGCCTGCAAGCTGTGCAGTTCCAGTTTAAGACCAGCGTGGGGCAGCGTTCTGAAAACCCTCAGATGAACATAGTCATGTCCACCGACATGAACCTGTGGTGGGAGGGAGTCAGCATTCTGAGGAAAAACACACCGCCTCATCAAGTTGCACTCTGAACAAGACACATTTATCTGCATTAGACCCTTTCAGATGTAGATGTTTAGAACTTTAAAATGCTTTTGTGAAGGCAGGAAATAGCAAAGAGGATAATATGTTATTTAAGGCTGTCAGTGCACATCCCACAGGGGACCCAGCGACATACTGTCACGTGTGAAGGGCCCACCTTAATGAAGAATTTGGTCCCGGCCACCACTTGGGTCTTGAATGACGTCGCTGTAAAAACATCAAAATTTCTTCCCGCTTTAAGTTATGCTTGCGGTTTCACCTGAAGATGAACAAGTTTCTTACATAATCGAAATTAGGACTTTTTTTTTTTTTAATTATGCTTGTGTTATTTTCATGTATTTATTTTAAATAATGCATTTACAGAAAAAAAACTCGGAATAATCTGGTTCCTTCTTAAATGAACTGAAATAGAACCGTGATGCAAACGTGTTTACAATCGACCCTGTCCTGATTTTTCCTGTCTCCAACAAGTGGAACGGGAACTGATGTTAGACGGAGAAGTTATGAATATGTCTATCCCCGATAAGTGAGTGAGTCTGTGTCCGAAGACTTGCTTGTTCAAGCCCCAAACGCCGTTACTGTCACTCATCATGTCGCAGATGCCTTGTACCTATCACACCAACGCGAGTAAAATTTGTTGCCTCAAGGGATTCCTTTGTCGGCTGGACCATTTCAACTTACATGGGTGGAAATGAATCAGTATTGTGGGGATTCGTTCGCTTGAGTGAATTATATAGTTGATATATAGTTAGGCGATGGTTAACATTTAATTATTTACTATTTCTTTGAAATAGTTGAATGCAGGACTGAAAACATTAATTTAAACATTTCTTTGGCTTCCCCTCTCAGTTGGATTGCTCATAGGCGTGGCTTCAGCTGTCCGATGAGCTGCTCTGATTCGTTTTGCGGGTCATCGATGTACGATTCGGTGAGAAAAACTACATGTCGTCATTTAAGGGGCGGTTGTTTGTTTCAGGATATTACAGATGTTTTACCGCCCACGACACTTGTCTTAAGTATTACTTTGTATCTTGCGGAGCTCTGTAATTCCCGCATAATTCAGGTTTGTAAACTGGACATTTTTCTTAACTTTGAATAAATATGAAAGATTCAGCTTACTTTCCATTGTCCGAGCCGGCAGGGGGCGTCGTAGGGGCGTGGTCCTGCCGCTCCCACATGGGCCGCGGTAACGCCTTCCTTCTCGCACAGGTATGCGCTCGGGGCCGCTCGCTGCTATGGTGGCTGCTCTCATATTGATGCGCAGGGTCGTACTGGCGACCGCTGACGCTGCCGCTGGGACAGGCGCTTTCTGCGGCCAGCGTGCCGTCGGGAAATGCGGCCTTAAGACATCGCCGGTGGTGCTGCAGGAGTCCCGGGCACCAGGTAAAGTGCACGTTGGTTTTCTGCAATGTCAGTCCTCTGGCCATGCATTTTAAACTGCCTTTCATTAGATGAAACTTTGTTTAAATGCATAATCAAACAGAAAGTTTAAGCATTTCGCAACCGGTAAGTGAAAGTGGTTTGGCCCGATAAGGCAATTCAGTGTAGCTGCCTCGTGTCACGTATCATGTTGCGCATGTATTTATTTTAAATACATTACTGTTTGTCTTCACACCCCCGTGGGCGGTTCGGGGGGGGGGGGGGGTGACAACATTCATGCCCCCCTCCAGGACCCCCCTAAGTACGTATGTTGCTTGGGTCTGAAATAAATGTATCATTATTACTATTATTGCTATTTACATTTATATATATGGGCGAAAATTTTGTGCGCTGGGGACAGGTGAAACAAACGTAAGCACATTTTCTTGATGGGCAGCCAGGCGGTCGGGTCGCTTTCATAATTATTCGTTTGGACCCCGCACATTTAACATAAAATATTAGTTCACCCAGCGCTGTTTCTATTGCTTCGCGAAAGAATCCATTCCACTTGATCGATATAAGAATATGCATACCACTGAAAGACCACTTCGGGTTTTCTGGGTTACCTACAACAACTCACCACATGCAAGTGAAGTGAATCGTCAGTGCAGGCTGATCAATACTGGAGGAGGTAACGTCAGCCCCATTGCCATCTCACAATGTCCAACTTTTGCTAAAACCTTATTCTTTTGTTATATGCCCTCAAAATTAACCCTAGACCACGATAAATTAATGTTCAACTAAACAATGAAATATTAGGAGTAGCCTAAGCTTTGCCTTATTCATTTTAAGTAACAGTAGGGTATTCTTGGTTGATGATCAATTGTTTACAGCATTTGCTCCCTCCCCAACACAATGGACATAAGGAAATTCTTTAAAAAGAAGTAGAAAGTAAGTCAAAATTTCTCAACAGGACAGGGTTTTTTTCCCAATTGAAATGTTAGTGCAGTTAGCGGGCTGTATCAACTAGCTTAATGTTAGCTATCATTACATGCTAACCCAGTAGCCTACCATATTGTAATGCCAAGAATGAGGCCAAGTCCGCTCTGATGATATTTATTGATTTATCTGTTGTGACTTGAAATTGCATACAGTGAGTAACCAGAATACTTCTGTAGCCTAATTTAGGGGCTATTATATTGCACAGAGCACCACCTGCTGGTATTCATAATATCAGCAAGAATGAAATAATCTTAATCATAATAAGTTTATTTGGAGTTTAGTATTTTTATCAGCAAGTATAAAATGTGTAAAAGGTTGTAGGCCTATACAACATTTTTATTGGGAGTTTAGTATTTTAGAGTTTCAGTATTTTTTCGCATAAAACAGTGCTTGGTTCATGGTCCGAATTTTAAAATTCAGATCATGAGAAGACCATTGGGTTAAAACAGTGGTTCTCAAAGTTGGTCCTCGGGCCCCACTGCCCTGCTTGTTTTCCTGCTATCCCTGCCCTATACACAAGTCCCAGCTGTCTTTCAGCTTCTGATTGACTGAACACACCTGATCCAGGTAATCAGCAGTGTTTAGGGCAGGGATAGCTGTGACGTCATGCGCATACCCTTCGCAGTACGAGGAGCGTAAGATAAGACGTGACGATCTGGGAGTATTTTACGCTTTTAACAGAAACCAGTAGCACAGCGATTTGCAATCTTTGTAAAATAAAGTTTTGAGAGGTGGGAGTAGTGTTTAATGGACCATCCCACTTAACAAATCGCACGCAACTGCGACACAAAAAATGCAATGGATGATTTGGGAGTCGCTAACCTGGACTGTCTTGTGAACTCGCTACAGCTTGTGATACAAGAGGGGCTGCCATCGCAACAAAGTGTAACTGAGCTGACGCCAATGGGAGAAAAAAATGTGTTAAGATTTTAAGCATTCGCCACTTGTGTATACTTGTTTTGAACATATTAATATTGAACTACAAATGCCTCAAAAACGCTTAAAACAAGACGTATAAACGAGGTGGAACAGTATGTTAGGTATGCTTGTAGTAGCCTAATTTTTGTCATACATTTCCTTACCTGATCTGTATTTACTAGTGTTGGAGTACGCCGTCTCCACCGAGTCCGTGGATGAGAAGAGATTCACAGCTGACACGGGGAGAAGTTGCAAATCACCGGTTTATTCTCTTGACTGATTATAATCAGGGAGCAGCCGTCTGACATACATTCAGCATGTACAGGAGGAGGCTCTGCCATATGTATCAGCTGTATCCCTTTTAAAGCCCTTTTGGCATCTCCCCCCCCCCCTTTCTCAATACACTCCCACCACGGAACAACCACATGTTTGACACTTGCCCTCGTTAGCTGGCTCGTAGTTGTCCTTCTGGAAGGCTAAAAGATAAGTAGGGGCCGCTGATATTCTCTGTCGCCCCCCCTATCTGTTCCGATTAGGTAGCCTTGCCTTGCCGGCGCGCCAGTCAGTTCTCGTTTTGTTTAGTTACAGCCTTATAGAATCATTCCCTTTATTTCCCCTTATAAAATTATTCCCTCACTAGTTAAAAAAAAATTATATATAAAGTATAATAAAGTAAAAAGTGTTCTTATATCGGAATCTGTATCGGTAGTTGTGTATCGGGATCGGATCGGGACTGAAAAAATGTGGATTGGCTCATCCTTACTTATTTCAGTTGTTAATAAAAAAAAAAAAACAATGCTTAATTCATCTCGATCTCTTTTGACATAGGAAATTGATACTGAGAGTGAGTCAGAGGCAGGGTCAGCATGTAGGGACAGCGGAGAGAGTTTCTATTGCTGAGGTGAGTGATGAAGCGTGCTGGGCAGTTATGAATGAAATGCATCTCAGAATTTTATGGAGCCTCATTTTGGGCTCTGCTCACTTTAAAAGTACAAATCTAAAATGTATACTTGAAGCAATATTTATTTTGAGTGCATTCCAGTCGGTTATGTAAATTTCATGAAGGACATTACTGATTTAAAGACATAATCTAGAGAGAAGGGGTCTCCAACAGGTAGCAAATAAATAAATTTTATAACACTGTAAATACATCTCATAACATAGTCACAAAAAGTATTAAATCTGTTAAAATTGCAATGAGATCAAAAAGAATGCACAAAATAAAAAGTAAAATGCACCCATAAACTCATTGTTGGTGATAAATTGTGTCACATTCATTTCATTATCTTAGGCATAGCAGTGGGTAGCAGTTAAAAACAGGCTGACGAATATGGACTATTTGAATGAGGACTTATTGTTGAGTCTTTAAAATAGTCATTGAATTAAGTGACTTTTGTAGGTAAAATTAGGTGTTTAACAACCTGTTAAAAATACACCAGAATGCAGGAAATGGCATCTAATTCATTAAAAAAATTCTGGGGGTGGGTCCCCAGACCCCCTGCCAGTGTGATAAGGATGTATGCTTGGGGCCATCGTTGTGCTGAAAGGGGAAATTCCTCTTCATCTTCAGCTTCCTAGCAGACACCTGAAGGTTTTGGGGCAAAATTGACTGCTATTTAGAACTGTTCATAATTCCCTCCACCTTGACTAAAGCCCCAGTTCCAACTGAAGAAAAACAACCCCAAAGCATGACGCTGCCCCCACCATGCTTCACCGTGGGTGTGGTGTTTGTGTGGTGGTCTTTTGATGATGCACAGTGTTGTTTTTGTGGCAAACATACCTTTTGGCATTTTGGCCAAAAAGTTCAACGTTGGTTTCTTCGGACCATAACACATTTTCCTACATGCTTTTTGGAGACTTGAAGCACTTTTTTTGTTAAATATTGCCAGGCCTGGTTGATTTTCTTTGTATGAAAAGGTTTCTATCTTGCGACCCTGCCCTATAGTCCAGACGTATAGAGAATACAGGAGATTGTTGTCACATGTAGTACACAACCAGTACTTGTATCAAAGTGACGAACCCTTCGCCGGCAGGTTCTGTGCTTGCATGTTCACCTGTGTACCAGAAGCTGCCGGAGAGACTGTGTTCTGTGCAATGACCTTACTGTGGCATCTCAGTGCCGGTGTGCATGTGTCATCATTGTTTGGGGGTGTCGCTGTATCCCTTGCCAACCTGTAGTGTTACATAAGTTTTTACCGGTACCCCAGCAGGGGGCACCCAGCATACGTTGTATCTCCCTAGGGCTGTGTTTTCCCACCCATGCCTAGTAATGCCGACACTCCAGCTCTGCGCTGTAACTCTGGAATCGGCATGTCTGCGTACGTTGTTTGACAGAGCATATGTCCATGTGTCCCAGAACCCGTGGTGCCATATGAGCAGCTTAAGACCATGCTGTCCAGGCACAGTGTCCAGCTGTTTGATGTCCGGAATCCAGATGAGTTCCAGGTGGGACGGATTCCTGACTCCACCAACATCCCATGTGAGAGTCTGTCTGTCTGTCTGTCTGTGTGTCTGTCTGTCTGCCTGTCTTGCTTTCCTTCTTCTGGCTCCCCCGTGACTCCCTTCTCCTGACAGTGGGGGAGCTGGAGGAGGCCCTGCAGTTGACTCCTGACCTCTTCAGGAGTCGCTTTCATGTCATTGCACCCAAGAAGACAGACTCCAACATCGTATTCTACTGTCGGAAGGGCAACCGCAGCGCCACTGCTTTGGAGATCGCGTTCAGGCTGGGCTTCAGCAGGTACAAGCCTAAGCTTTAGGCTACTTTGGACCCCGCTGTCTCCCCCGTGCCCGTGTAACATGGCCCCCACCCCCCTGGCAGGGCGCAGCACTACGCAGGTGGATACAAAGAATGGGAGCAGTATGAGCGGCAGTGAGCCTGCAAGCTGATTGGCTGGAGTGACCAACATCCCAGAATGCAGTGCAGTACAAAGTGTCAGCTGGATCAGCTGCCCCCAGGATCAGGACATCAGAGGAAACGGTGTCTAAGTTCATCAAAATAAAATGGCGTTCACAAACTAGCCACATAGCTCTGTGATTTAATATAGTGGTGGAAGGGCATATTCTATTACTGTATTATTTATTTCATGGGTGACTTGGAATATTCTTTGGTCCGCTGAAGACTGGTCGAGTAGGGCCCTGGTGAAACATTACTGGTCTTATCAGTAACCATACCAGCTGAGCAACTGAGTTGCTGCTGGATGAGATGTTGGTGTAGAGAGCAGGTTTGTGTGGATCCCAGTGTAGTGATGGGGACACTGTGCTGTAAAAATGGTGCCATCCTTTGTATAAGATGTAAAACTGGGGTCATGACTCTCTGGGGTAATAAATGATCCCTGGGCATCTTTCAAAATAGTAGGGGTCTTAGCTAATGTGTGGTGAGTGTACTGGTGTAGAATGGCTGCTGCATCATCCAGGTGGGGGCTACATGGTGGCGGTTGAAGTGGCTCCCCATTGGTTCTGTGAGGTGCTTTGGGTGTCTTAAAGCGCTATGTAGATGTAAATTTCATTCATTGGTCTCATGAGCAGAACCACCCTGTTCAGCAAAAATCAAGATTATGTTGGCACCATAGACAGTGCCGTCTTTGATTTAGCACGTTGCACCGCTGCCATAGTTTCGCCGTATGCAGCACCATAGTAATTCTACATCATACTAATACTGTCCTTGTTACCCTTAATTTTTTGCCATTCTGGTAAATGACAGTACATTCATCAAAATGTACAATTTTATTATTTGCATGAAAACATTCCCATTAATGTATTATTAGCATTATTAGCGAACTGCAACTGTCTAATTATTTGTAGCCATGAACAGATTTACACAGGGTTAGATCACATTCTACAAACATATCAGCTTTACAGTCCAAAGAACTAAGCATCATACTGTTAGTGTGGTGTTTTTAATGCTGCACGTGATGCCATCTTGTGGTCTAAAAGTAGAATGGCGAGAAGTGCAGTCCACGGCCCAGCGAACAGAAAACATAATTTACATTTCCATCAAACAATGTTCGCTCCTAACACAGTACCCAGTCCGTATCAGTATAGATATCCAGCATGATTTTTCCCCCCATTGAGATCTGATGTGTTTTCAAAGTGTTCCTTTATTTTGAGCAATGTAGAACACACACACACCTCTCTCTAGTTCAGATTAATGCAATATATTAAAACATTCCTGTAGTGTTTTATTTATAAAGAACACTTTTCTCTCAAAAAGCAGTCCAGCAGTCGCTGAAAGAAGGGAACACAGTAATTGATTCTCGAGCCATCAATGTCAAACAGTTCAATTCAATCGCCATGGAGAGCGCCCAGTAATGTCACGCATAAGAAACTATCCCTTTTGCACCCTCTTAAAGAACAGTTAGGAAAACACAAGTAGAAAAGTAAATATCTTTAGTAAGGAATACCTTTCAAGTCTTCGAAAAACAGAGACACTTATCATGAAATGCACCTCAGATCTATAAAGCTTAAACAACTCATTTGAAATAGGCAGCCCTGCAACAGCTCAGGCACTGAGTGGCACATGTGTTACCCTTTTTGACCACCAGGCAGAGACACTGAGCCCTGACAGGGTTGTGTGAACAGCAGTTTTCAGTACCCAGCAGAACCACAGAACTCATGCATGAGAAATAACAATATTGTTCCCACTGTCTGTAAAATCTTCAGAACAGCTGAAATTTTACTGCAATATAATTTACAGTTCTGGTATTGCACTTTTTGACATTCTTTATGTTAGAGAATGTATACCTGTCTGTAACCACAAACATATACTATATTGCCAAAAGTATGGGGGCACCTGCCTTTACACACAAAAGAACTTTAATGACATCCCATTCTTAGTACATATGTTTTAATATGGAATTGGCCCACCCTTTGCAGCTTTGACGGCATCAACTCTTCTGGGAAGGCTGTCTACAAGGTTTAGGAGTGTGTTTATGGGAATTTTTAGCAAGGTCCATAAGGACATGGATGAGCAAGTCTGGTGTGGAGGAACTTGACTGGCCTGCACAGAGCTTGTTGGACGAGAAGGCCTGGCTCGCATTCTCTGCTCTAATTCATCCCAAAGGTGTTCTATTGGGCTGAGGTCAGGGCTCTGTGCAGGCCAGTCAAGTTCCTCCACACCAGACTTGCTCATCCATGTCCTTATGGACCTTGCTTTGTGCACTGGTGCACAGTCATGTTGGAACAGGAAGAGGCCATCCCCAAACTGTTCCCACAAAGTCGAGAACATGAAAATTGCTTTGAATGCTGCATCATTAAGAGTTTCGTTCACTGGAACTAAGGGGCCAAGCCCAACCCCTGAAACTCCAAGGAACATGTCTCCACTGCTCTAGAGTCCAGTGGCAGCATGCTTTCCACCACTGCATCCAACACTTCGCATTGCACTCATGATCTGCATGATTTTCTAGGGTTTACAAAGTGCAAAAATGCCTTGTTGAGCTCACCAAAATTGGACAGTTGAAGACTGGAAAAATGTTGCCTGGTCTGATGAGTCTCGATTTCTGTTGAGACATTCAAATGGTTCCAATTTTGGTGAGCTCGTGCAAATTGTAGCCTCTTTTTCCTATTTGTAGTGGAGATGAGTGGTACCCGGTGGGGTCTTCTGCTGTTGTAGCCCATCCGCCTCAA